TTGAGGCGGAGGTGGCTGCCGCAAGTGCCGAGGTTGAGGAGGACGCCGCCCCCGCATCCGTGGCGGAGGTGGAGGCCCCCAAGGCCGAGGAGGCTGTCGTCGAAGAGGCCCCCGCAGTGGCGGTAGAAGAGGAGGCTGCTGCCACTGTGGTTGAGGAGGCGAAGGAGGCCGAGGTCGTGCTGGAGGTTGCAGAGCCAGAGGCCCCAGTGGCGGAGGCGGCTGCGCCCGAGGCAGCCGTCGCTGAGGAGGTGAAGGAGGCCGAGGCCGCCCCCGAGGTGGCCCCTGAGGTGGAGTCGCGCGAGCAGGAGCTGCCGGTGGCGAGCGAGGAGGTGGTACCAGAGGCTGTACCAGAAGCGGTACCAGAAGCCGTGGCTAAGGCGGAGGTGGCTGCCGCAAGTGCCGAGGTTGAGGAGGAGGCCGCCCCCGCACCCGTGGCGGAGGTGGAGGCCCCCAAGGCGGAGGAGGCTGTGGTCGAAGAGGCCCCCGCAGTGGCGGTAGAAGAGGAGGCTGCTGCCACTGTGGTGGAGGAGGCTAAGGAGGCCAAGGTCGTGCCGGAGGTTGCAGAGCCAGAGGCCCCAGTGGCGGAGGCGGCTGCGCCCGAGGCAGCCGTCGCTGAGGAGGTGAACGATGACGAGGCCGCCCCCGACGTGGCCCCTGACGTGGAGTCGCGCGAGGTGGAGCTGCCGGTGGCTAGCGAGGAGGTGGTACCAGAGGCTGTACCACAAGCAGTACCAGAAGCAGTGGCTAAAGCGGACGTGGCTGCCGCAAGTGCCGAGGTTGAGGAGGAAGCCGCCCCCGCACCCGTGGCGGAGGTAGAGGCCCCTAAGGCCGAGGACCCTATGGTCGAAGAGGCCCCGACAGAGGCGGTAAAAGAAGAGGCTGTATCAGAGGAGGCCGCTGCCCCTGTTGTAGAGGAGGCGAAGGAGGCCGAGGTCGTGCCGGAGGTTGCAGAGCCAGAGGCACCAGTGGCGGAGGCGGCTGCGCCCGAGGCAGCTGTCTCTGAGGAGGTGGAGGAGGCCGAGGCCGCCCCCGAGGTGGCCCCTGAGGTGGAGTCGCGCGAGGTGGAGCTGCCGGTGGCGAGCGAGGAGGTGGTACCAGAGGCTGTACCAGAAGCGGTACCAGAAGCCGTGGCTGAGGCGGAGGTGGCTGCCGCAAGTGCCGAAGTTGAGGAGGAGGCCGCCCTCGCACCCGTGGCGGAGGTGGAGTCCCCCAAGGCCGAGGAGGCTGTGGTCGAAGAGGCCCCCGCAGTGGCGGTGGAAGAGGAGGCTGCTGCCACTGTGGTTGAGGAGGCGAAGGAGGCCGAGGTCGTGCCGGAGGTTGCAGAGCCAGAGGCCCCAGTGGCGGAGGCGGCTGCGCCCGAGGCAACCGTCGCTGAGGAGGTGAACGAGGCCGAGGCCGCCCCCGAGTTGGCCCCTGAGGTGGAGTCGCGCGAGGTGGAGCTGCCAATGGCTAGCGAGGAGGTGGTACCAGAGGCTGTACCAGAAGCCGTACCAGATGCCGTTTCTGAGGCGGAGGTGGCTGCCGCATGTGCCGAGGTTGAGGATGAGGCCGCCCCCGCACCCGTGGCGGAGGTGGAGGCCCCCAAGGCCGAGGAGGCTGTGGTCGAAGAGGCCCCCGCAGTGGCGATGGAAGAGGAGGCTGTGGCTGAGGAGGCCGCTGCCCCTGTGGAGGAGGAGGCCAAGGCGGCTGATGTCGTGCCGGAGGTTGCAGATCTAGAGGCCCCAGTGGCGGAGGCGGCTGCGCCCGATGAAGCCGTCGCTGAGGAG